GGTCCTTCCTCCCGGTACCCCGGGACGCTGCCCTCCCCGCAGTCGCCCGGCTGACCTCGGGGTGCACGGCTCAGCTCCCCCATTCCATCGCCGCCCCCACGTTTCTGTAGGAGCGGGAACAGCAGCTTCCTTTGCTTGGAAAGAAAAGAAAATGCTGGCGCGTTGAAAGCTCTGTTCCTCGCTTGGGCAGGTTGGGGTCTTGTCTTGAGGTCTGGGTATGGAGCATCCTTATTTCATGCAGGATTTTACTGTTTTAGTTCATTGATGGGCAGATGAATTTCCTGCGTTTTGAAGGCTTTCTCAGACCCGGGGGGTGGGGGGGGGAGACAGTTCTTGAAAACCAAGGGAGCCCTATCCACATCTTCATGAAATAATGGGCTTAAAGTCTCTGGTGGCAGCTACACAGCCGTTTTCCAGTGCCATTATTTGTTTAAAGTTTAGGGCGGGGGGGACTTTAAAATACATTAAATCTATTTAGATTTAAAATACAATAAGCATATAAAAATAGCCCGGCTGGTGTGGCTCAGTGGTTGAGCATCAACCCATGAACCAGGAGGTCAGGGTTTGATTCCCAGTTGGGGCACATACCCGGGTTGCGGGCTCGATCCCCGGTGGGGGGCGTGCAGGAGGCAGCCGATCCATGATTCTCTCTCATCACTGATGTTTCTCTCTCTCTCTCCCTCTCCCTTCCTCTCTGAAATCAATTAAGACATATTTAAATATATATGTATATGTGTGTGTGTGTGTGTGTGTGTGTGTATAGTGTCCCAAAATTCACGAAAGAAGTAATTTTGATAGAAAACACAGGTTTATAATTAAAAATTGTAAATTTTTTGTTGATTCATAAAGTATACAGTGTAGGATTATATATGGAATAGCACATCAGGTAAATGGCCTCCACGGCTTTGCTGGCACATACGCAAAGCCGTGGTCTTCCTTGTCCCTCACTGTCCCTGCTCCTGGGCCGCATTGGTACTTGGTGATGCTTATCGATTGAAGGGGTGAAATCAAAGGGCAACAGATATGAGAATCTGATTCATTAAACAAGTCAAATTAGGCTTTTATTTTTGTTGTTGTTGTTGATGTTCATGCAAAATTCAAATCTTGCGTGAATTTTGGGACACCCTATTTATCCTGTTTTTAGCAAGAATATAGGAGAACTCCCAGACAGGAAAGGACCAAACCTCAGAAAACAGCTTGCCCATGGAGGGCTGCAGGGGGCGCTCAGGACAGCCCAGCTAAGGGCCCCCACACTTGCTGGCATGTCCCCCTCCTCCCTCGGGTCTCAGATGTGTCGCTCTTTCGTGTCGCGGGCATGAGCTGTTTACCATCTACCTTTCTCTCCCAGCCTCCTCCTCGCCAAAACCGAGGAAAGGACATTCGAAATACGACGGAGGAACGGGAGCCTGACAGCGAGGTCAGTCGTTGCTCCGGAAATAGTATAAGACGCTGCCTGTCATGGAGACGCGCTCGGGGCGTGCAGGAGGCAGCCGGTGCACGATGCTCCCTCCTCACTGAAGTTTCTCTCTCTCCCTCTCCCTTCCTCTTTCTGAAACTTAAAAAAAATTTTTTTTTAAAGGAAAAAGTGGGATGCGTATGCTAACCTGAGTGCATGCCCATGATTTCCAGGTGAAAAACCAACCAGACTTCATAAAGGAAAGATTGGCGCTGTTTGAGATATTGAAGAAAGAGCATCAGCGGTCACGTGCCACCGGAGGGAGCGAGGGGAGCGCAGGCGATGCGATCACAGTGCGAGTGGCTGATGGGAAAACCGTGGAAGGGGAGGCGTGGAAGACCACACCGTACCAGGTGGCTGCTGACATCAGGTAAACCACAGATTGGAGAAGATTTCAGGTGTATTTTGGCTTGTTTTTGGCTATTGTGAGCCTTTTTTAAAATACGTTTTCATTGATTTCAGACGGAGGAAGGGAGAGGGAGAGAGAGAGAGAAACATTGATGAGAGAGAATCATTGATCGGCTGCCTCCTTCATGCCCCCCACTGGGGATCCAGCCTGCAACCCGGGAATCAAACCCTGACCTCCTGGTTCATAGGTCGATGCTCAACCACTGAGCCACCCGTGCCGGGCGATGTTCAGTAGTAAGTGTTGGGCCAGAGCTTGTTGAAAATGTGTTGTTCTTGCCCTGGCCGGTGTGGCTAGTGGTTAGAGCATCGGCCCTCGGACTGAAGGGTCCCAGGTTCGATTCCCGGTCAAGTGTACATACCTAGTTGCAGGCTCGATCCCCCGCCCCGATTGGGGCACGTGCAGGAGGCAACCAATCGATGTGTCTCTCTCCCATTCATGTTTCTCTCTCTGTCTCTCCACCTCCCTTCCACTCTCTCTAAAATTCAGTGGGAAAATGTCCTCGGATGAGGATTTCAAACAAACGAACAAACAAAAAACCCTGGGAGTGATTTTATTCTCGTGCTTTAACAAATCATGACAGCCCGTGACGAGGTTAACTGCCCGGTGATTTTTTCTCTCACCAGTCGAGAGCTGGCTGAAAGCACCGTAATAGCCAAGGTCAATGGTGAATTATGGGACTTGGACCGCCCGCTGGAGGGGGACTCCACGCTGGAGCTGCTTACGTTTGACAATGAGGAGGCACAGGCTGTGAGTATTTCAACAACGGGTACAAAACCACCTATCAAGCCCTAACGGTTTGGCTCAGTGGGTAGAGTGTCGGCCTGCGGACTGAAGGGTCCCAGGTTTGATTCCTGACAAGGGCATGTACCTTGGTTGCGGGCACATCCCCAGTAGGAGGTGTGCAGGAGGCAGCTGATCGATGTTTCTCTCTCATCGATGTTTCTCACTCTCTATCCCTCTCCCTTCTTCTCTGTAAAAAAATCAGTAAAATATATTAAACACAAAAACCACCTATCGAAGTCAGGCACGAGGAGTGTTGTGGCGCTCTAAAGTTTAAAACGTGTCTATTGTGATTTAACAGGTATTCAATAACTTTTAAAAAAATATATTTTTATTGATTTCAGAGAGGAAGGGAGAGAGAGAGAAAGAGAGAAACATCCATGATGAGAGAGAATCATGGATCGGCTGCCTCCTGCACGCCCCACACTGGGGATGGAACCCACAACCTGGGCATGTGCCCTGACCAGGAATTGAACAGTGACCTCCTGGTTCATGTCGATGCTCAACCACGGAGCCACACCGGACGGGCCTGATGCTTCTTTTAGTGTAATTTAGCATCAAAGATTTATTTTCCCCCCTGGGTTTTATTTTCCTATTATGATTGTGAACATCAACCAATTTATGAATATTGAGTGTGTACCCATGAGAAAGAAACCCTACAGCAAAACAAATCTAGAAAACTCAGGTCTGCGAAATGATAAATTAGTGACTTTGTAAAAGCATTTTCTGTTTGACTGAAAAATCCAAGGGTCCTTTATTATTTATTTTGCTGGTCAATCTTTACCTGAGGATATTTTTCTATTTTTTGGAGAGAGTGGAAAGGAGGGGGACAGAGAGAGAGAGACACATCGATTGGTTGCCTCCTGCACATGCACCCAACCAAGGTCAGGGATCAAGCCTGCAGTCACGGTATGTGGCCTTGACCGGAATCAAACCTGAGACCCTTCAGTCCGTGGGCTGATGCTCTATCCACGGAGCAAAACCAGCTTTTATTTTAAAAGATGATCCTATTTATAATGTAGCGCATGATGCACCACGGGACAGAAATACTTCCTGCCTTCTGGGTAAACTGACGGAGAAAATGACAGAGTAAAAATGTTCTTGTAAAGCTGATCAATGTGCACACCAGAACAAGGGTCCTTTTATCAAAGGACACAGCTTTCTGGTTGGCAACATCATTGGTTTTGTCTTCAAATCGATGTTGCACTGTGGCCTAGTGTTAACACCAAACCACATGTTAACACCGTTATGCCTTTGCATGATGTGATTTGATCACCAGCAGCGTGCGTCTGTGTCCTGTGCCCGCAGGTGTACTGGCACTCCAGCGCCCACGTCCTGGGCGAGGCCATGGAGCTCTACTATGGAGGCCACCTGTGCTACGGTCCGCCCATCGAGGACGGGTTTTACTATGACATGTTCATCGAAGACAGGTAACACCACTGAACGTTCACTTCGGAGTGCATGTGGATTGGGCTCATTGTTTTATCATGGTTACATTTTTTAAAAATGATACTTTTATTGATTTCAGAGAGGAAGAGAGAGAAACATCAATGATGAGAGAGAATCATGGATCAGCTGCCTCCTGCAATCCCCACACCGGGGATCAAGCCTGCAACCCAGGCATGTGCCCTGGTTCATAATTCGACGCTCAACCACTGAGCCATGCCGTTCAGGCCCAACGGGGCTTTCAAATTGCAGGCCTCGTCGAAGAGACTGAAGGCAGATCATTCCATCCATTAATGCCCGTCTCCCTGTCTGGGAAAAGTTATCTGCCTTCGGATAAATGTCTGATTTTCTGAAGTCCTGGTGCATCTAAACACCAAGTCCCGACTGACCAGCGTGGCTCCGGTGGTTGAGTGTTTACCTAGGACCCAGGAGGTCACGGTTCGATTCCCAGTCAGCGCACATGCCCGGGTTGCGGGCTCCATCCCCAGTAGGGAGTGTGCAGGAGGCAGCCGATCCGCGATTCTCTCTCATCATTGATGTCTCCCTCTCTCTCCCTCTCCCTTCCTCTCTGAGATCAATAAACATATAAACTTAAAAAACCACCAAGTTCCTCCGCCGAGAAAGCTTGTTGGTGAGTGACAAAGGCTGCAGGACCCAGGCCACACAGGCACGTGGTGAGGACTGGAAAGTGTTGATTCTCACCTGCTCCCCCTGCAGAGCCGTGTCCAGCACAGAGCTGCCGGCGCTGGAGAGCATCTGTCAGACGATTATAAAAGAAAAGCAACCTTTTGAAAGATTGGAAGTCAGCAAGGACGTCCTTCTGGAAATGTTTAAGGTAACTTCTTTAAAAAAAAAAAATATATGTATATGTATATGTATAAATTTTATTGGTTCAGAGAGGAAGGGAGAGGAAGAGAGAGAGAGAGAAAGAAACATCAATGATGAGAGAGAATCATGGATCGGCTGCCTCCTGCAGGCCCCCCTACTGGGGATCGAACCTGCAACGGGGCATGTGCCCTGACCAGGAATCAAACCCAGGACCCTTCAGTCTGCAGGCCGATGCTCTGAGCCAAACCAGCTAGGGCCAGATAATTTCAAGAAGCTGTTTAGGAGAAGAAAACCTGGTTATAGGAAGATTAAAAGTAATTAACATAGACAACTTTTTGTTGTTAATCCTCACCCGAGGATCTTTTTTCCATTGATTTTTTGAGAGAGTGGAAGGGCCGGCAGACGGGGACAGAGAGAGAGAGAGAGAGAGAGAGAGAGAGAGAGAGAGAAACATCGATGGGAGGGAAACACATCCAGTGTTTGCCTCCCACATGCACCCCGACCAGGGGCGGGGATGGAACCTGCAACCCAGGTACGTGCCCTTGACCAGGAATAGATCCTGTGTCCATCCGCTGTGCAGGCTGATGCTCTGACCACGGAGCCACGCCGACAGGGCTGTGAGCTCTGTATATCCCCAGGATCTCAGCACCTAGAACGCAGTAAACACCCATTCAGTGTTTGTTGCAAAAAAGGAAATATTTTCCCACTTCAACATTTTACGTAATGACACATAAATTTGTTTTTCTTTGTAGTACAATAAGTTTAAGTGCCGCATTTTGAACGAGGTTAACACTCCAACCACCACGGTTTACAGGTAACGTGCACGTAAATTCTAAACCTGCTCAGTGGTTCTCTTTTTTAAAAATATATATATTTTTATTGATTTCAAAGAGGAAGGGAGAGGGAGAGAGAGATAGAAACATAAATGATGGGAGAGAATCATTGATCGGCTGTCTCCTGCATGCACCCCACTGGGCATCGAGCCCGCAACCCGGGCATGTGCCCTTGACTGGAACCCAGAACCCTTCAGTCTTCAGGCTGATGCTCTACCCACTGAGCCAAACCAGCCGGGGCTCAGTGGTTCTCTTGAAGGATCAGCAGGAGAAGCAGTTTGCCTGGGGTGGTGTCTACTTGTAAATGTGCAAGTCAATGTGTCACTTTGGTTAGGGACTCGAAATGTTATCACGAAGGAAGTCACTGCTTTTCCTTTGTCTCTCAGGATGGCACTGGCCCTGTCTGAAATATCTTGTTACAGGTGTGGCCCACTCATCGACCTTTGTAAAGGCCCCCACGTGAGACACACCGGAAAAATCAAAACCATCAAAATTTTCAAGGTAAGGGTTTATTGCTGTTCATAGAGAAGACTGAAGATAAACTAAATCATTAGGAATTTCAGTCATATGCCTCATAATCTGAACATCAGGCTATTTTTAAAAACCCTTCATTATTTGATTTTTACATGGGCTTCTAAAAACAGTATAAATTTTTTTAGAATTCTGATTATTAGGACATTATGTGTAGCTTTTGATTTTCATTTAACCTTACTGTGTTGCAATGCATTTTTCTTGTTCGTATGATATTTTACCATTTGTACGCCATAAGCATCTATAGACGCAAGCGACGGACCTTTTTTAATTAAATTCAAAACATCGTGGCAGTTAGCTGGTTATGATGTTGTGGTACATACTGGTTTTCTTTTTTTTATATGTCTTTATATATATATATATATATATACACACATACA